CTCAAAAACAGCTCTGTCCTCAGCGACCCTTTAACCCTTATGCTGCATTAGGGACATTTTTGGTCTTTTGCAGTTTAATTTCTTTGACCATTTTGGCTGTTTTAATGCAAATGGTATGAAATTTGGCAAAATTGTGACTTTTTGGATACATGTAAAAAATGTGATCCCATTTTGCAAAATATGTATAACACACACTGTGTAGATCAAATAGTAACACTCAGCACCATAAAGACCAAAAATGGCCCATTGAAACCCATTAAATCTGAGGCTGTCAGTAATACATGAAACATGATTTTTGCACAAACATCCTTTCATTGTGAAGCAAAAGCATTATATTTGCATTATATAGTGTATTCCACCAGATGACGTCACTACATATTTATTCCCTATGGGTGGAAATGCACCTTATTTTAGGCAATAGGCAATGTTTAATAGGTGGCCATTTTTGGTCTCTAACGCGCTAAGTGGGATTTTTTGCAAAGTGGGACTTTGATAATCCAAATCTAAAGTTTTCTCTTTGCATTTAGTTTATTGAAAATAATTGAATTTTTGTGTTTTTTCCTCTTATACAAATCGATGGTTTCGCAAACAAAACTGTTAATTAAAGGGTTAAAATCCTGAAATTGAATACATTTTTGGTAGTTATGATGAGGACTGATGCTGGTTAAAAGATTTAACTTGGTAAAAGTGGAAAATAATAATAATATATAATATTTTAGGCAATGTTTAATATGTGGCCATTTTTGGTCCTTAATGCACTCAACGGTGTTAAAAATCTAATGCAGCACAAGGGTTAAATGATAATGAGCAACTGTGTGACGAGTGTGTTGTGCTCGTCTGTCATTAGCATTTGCTAACTGCTAAAGGCTTTCGTAATGTTTATAAATCTTTAATGCATTACTGGTAGGGCTGGGATGAACGATTATTTTTTAAACGATTAATCTAGCAATTTTTTTCGATGCGTCGATTAATCTAACGATTCGTTTTCCGTTTCGATTCGAATATCGATTATTTTCCGATTAACTGACTAATAGCAATAGCAATTTATACATGTTGATTTACATATCTAAATGGGAAAAAAAACATGAATTCCTTAACATTGTAACATTGTAATTGCTTAGCAACCTATAGCATTAACTAAGGCCCCGTCCACACTGCGTTTTCGTTTAAAAACGGAGAATTAAAACGAATACGATCTCCGTCCACACCAGCGTTTTGTCTGCGTATTAGAATTGATCTCCGTCCACATTAAAACGACTGAAAACGCAGATCACGTGACCATTCACCAACACTGGGCATGCGCGCGCCGGTGTAAACAGTGGTTGGCGAATCAGGGAAGGACACGTCATGACTGATGACACCCAATCATAGAGCCGAGCGTAAGCCTCTGCGTCATCGTTTGTAAACTCCTCCGTCTTGTCTCGTCCACACTAAAACGCCCTCCGGAGTTGCAAAACGCAGCTGCAGCGTTTTTAAACTTCTCCGTTTTAGGTCTTCGTTTTTCCCGTTTTAGTGTGGACGGGAGGTGCAAACGTAGCAAAAGGTCTCCGTTTTTAAACGAAAACGCAGTAGTGTGGACGGGGCCTAATAGTGTAAAATTAATGTTACTACAATGGGTCAACGGCACGTATTTCAACTTCCACCCGGCAACCAAGACCGTCTTGCTGGTTAAACTAGTTAAGAAGCTTGACTGAGGCACCATCATCATGCTAGTGTTTTCTGCAGGGATTTCCTTGTCCTGCGTGAGAGTCCGTGTCTTGAATGGTCACTGTGAGAGGACAAAAGTTCCTTGTTCATCTAAATATTTAATGAGATTGCAGACAGTGGACACACTGGAGGTTTCCTTTCTCTTGGTTTTCTTGCTTTCTCCTTGTTAGCCACTAACACAGCACTATATATTTTTAGGCACTCAGGTCTGTCAATCAGGCTCTTTTCACACCCACTGTCCAGAAGAAAGAGACCAAAGCCCGCAGGAAAGACAGAACAATACAAAGAAAGGCAATACAATTCAACCAGGACGGGTCACGGCAATGAAATGTCACAGAAAGTGTGGTAGAAGAAAGCAAGGACATCACGGTGTGATGAAAATGCTTCAGTTCATGGTGGCTGGATTGCAGTATTTTGTAAAACCAGTCTGAACCCCTTTGCGAGTTTCATCATGTTCTGGGGAAGGACTCAGTGAAGCGTGCACCGAGCAGCTGGTTTCATTAACCTCCTGTCCAACCCTGGAGAGAAGGAAGCAGGGTAAGGCGATGTAAATGGTGACCTTCTAAATATGCATCCAGATATCAGCGAGCGAGCGAACGCCTGCCTGCTCTCGCGATTCATCGAGAGGGAGGGAAGGGAACCGCAGACAGCGAGGAAACTAGGCCACTTGTTTCAACAGTTGAGTCACCTTGGCAATCCCGACTTTCAGCCTCAGGGGTGTGAATTCGCCCGTGTTTCCGAGTGTGATTGGATGCTTTGTGTCCTGTCATTTCTATATTTCTCACAAGAAAGACCTGTTCTTATCATTTCTGGTAACAATGACATATTGCTCTGTTTTGTCATACAGCCTGTAATTGCAGAGGTACTTTCATTAAAAACGAACAATGGTGTTTCAAACAAAGGACTTTTTTTCTTTCTTCATAAATTCAAAATGGCCTCTATTTACTTTCTTGCTCTAGTTAACACTATCGATCAGGTTTAGTGTAGATGCTACGCTATTTTCAAAAGCTGGACATTTCACTTCCAAACTGATGCAATATGTTGTTTTTTTGTTTGTTTTTTTCTATTGCCAGATTCTGTTTTGTATCAAACTGAACACATTTCATTTGGAAAGTGCAGTGAAACGAGCAAGAAGCAAACTAGTAGGGCTGGGTAATAAATATCGATTTCTCGATATTAATCGATTCTCATTTTTACGAACCGATATCGATTCTTAAAGGTATAGCGGAGGATCTTTCCGAATTTTAGAGAAGACCCGCCCTCTCCAATTTTTTAAAAAAATGCACAAACACAACACTCTTGCTCCCGAGAGGGAATGCCTATTACGCCATGCACAATTATGTTGCAAATTCTAAACTAACTCAAAAAAAAAAATTTAATAAAAAAGACAACATGTCAAATGCCCTTCCGTGTTTTATTTACTTATTATACTGATCGATTGAGTGACCGAGGACTCGAGACATGATATGTGCAACCCTGTATCACACGAAATACGTTCTGAGGAAACTATTTTGCAAATCGCAATTACGTTACATAGCAACATATAGGCTAAGCAGTGCTATTACATTGGTCCTTAACCTAATATCTCTCATTGTTAATACGTTATTTTTATACATAGTTGCATATGGAGAAGTAGCTTGTTGCATTTGTGTAATAATAAACACACAAGGTTTTAGAATATTTCAGCGTGATACCATTTACCATTTTGGTCAAAAGGCTACTTTAGACAAATTGAGATGTTTACCGTGTCTATGCGGTGCATGACTCGTGCCAGGGCTAGCATTGTAGCTTGCATTAACTTTTACTAGTGATTTTAAATGGATTTCTCCAAATAGCGTGACAAACTTTACCTGTCTGGTAGAATCTTCGCGACTGCGGCATCAGTGAGAAGCCCAACCTGTGCTTTTAGCGCACGCCAGCGTGTGATATTCACCCAAAATCTCTCTGGTCTTGTTCCTATATTCTGTGGCCTTTCTCTTCTTATCATACACTTCGTAAACATTTTTTCTCTTTCGACCCTCAGCCATTTTCAAAGGAATGGCTGAAACCGTAACTCCGACATAATACACCTGAAAGTGAAAACTACATAGGGATGAGCACGTAGCCTACGACGGCCTTACGTAAACATATCACCGGAATGATTGACACTTAGGTGGACCAATAGTATAGACTACCCACCCGGAAAAAGAAAATCCTCCGCTATACCTTTAAATCTCAAAAAACGATTAGTCATCCTGTTTCATTTGAATGAATGGGACATTGTGTCGCGGCTGGGCGCATCCAAAAAAATCGCAATAATCTTTGTCCTTTGTTACTATTGATATGAAACAAAGTCTCAATTTTCAAATTACGTCCATTTTCTTTTTAGAAATTCAAAAACATAAATAGCGTTTTGGCGCTGTGGCGTGAGATCGCTCTTAGCAGCGCTGATCTCTCTTCCGGGTTAATAATACCAGTCACAGCGCCAAATAAACATGAATGAGCATCTGAAAGTGTGTTATCGAAATCCATATCATATCACATTGATTCGCTCAATCAGCGTTTCAACCGTGGAAAGACGTAAACAGCTTGTAATCAATGTCTTGTCATGTATCGTCGTATTTACCTCAGAAAACCCACATAAACTCGTTAGTCAGCTAAAAATAACTCCAGAGAGGAGCATTTTGCTAAATATATACACCATATTACATATGCATTATAATCTTAACATTTGTTCTTCAATATTTAATGCATATTTGAATAAATCTGGCAAGTTTTTATGACAGCCACCATTAAAATGTTTATATTTCATATAATCTTCTTATTATAAAAATAAATAAAAGTGTAATTTAAGTGTTTGTATAGCTACAAAACTGTTCATTATTACCTTCATTTTAGGCTAATGAAGTCTATAGGCTACAACTAGACTCCCATAGTTTACAGCATTTAAGAGATTTGATTGCCTTGAGAAAAATGGCCATTTATTGTAACTGATATCCAAAATAATCGATATTGAATCGAATCGTAATCGAAATCGAATCGAATTGCAAGCTTGTGAATCGAATCGAATCGAATTGTGAAATTTGTCTCAATACCCAGCCCTACAAACTAGTATCATTTTTCAGAAAATATGTTGCACTTTTCATGATGCAATTAATTTGTGATGTATAGTCAAGTTCAATTAATGAGATTGGCTTGGAAATATGTCACGTTAGGCTATGGTTTCATGTTGCATTTCAAAGAATAGCATTGACTAGACCAGTTGTTTGTTTCCAAAACATGTCTTCGATTTATTTTGTTTGTTTGTCCCCCAGAGGGCTGACCTTGCCGTGGCTCCTCTCACAATCACCTTTATGCGGGAGAAAGCTATCGACTTCTCCAAGCCTTTTCTGAACACCGGCATCAGTATCCTGTACCGTAGACCCAACAGCACCAACTCCGGCTTCTTCTCGTTCCTGAACCCCATGACCCCTGATATCTGGGTCTACATTCTGTTGGCCTACCTGGGAGTCAGCTGTGTACTCTTCGTCATCGCCAGGTGAGCGACCACACACTGCGACTATTAACCTTCATGGCACCTTGAGATATTTGCTTTGAATTCACTCCGTAAAGCATCAAAGGGCAGGCAGTTATGCATTATTAGTGGTGTTTGTGAAGGCTAAGAGACCAAACCTTACCTAGGGATTAGAATATCAAAGATGTTTGCTGGTGGGTTTGCTTCAGTGTACATTGAAAACCTGCTTGACAACTGCCTAGCAACTGTACTTAAGAGCTACATGCAAATGGAAAATATTCAGAAGAGTGTAACACCTGCATAGAAACATCATCAGAAAATGAAAAAATCAAATTTTCAAATAGTCCATATTCCATTTTGCTATCTTGCAAAAAAATAAAAAAAATAAAATATATATATGTATATATATATATATATATATATATGGCTTAGATACATTTATTTCAACCTGACAAAAGCTGTAGCATCAATTGCTTCCAGATGACTCTTGATTTGAAATGCACGTTATGTGTAGTTTGTTTAAATGTTTTCAAGGGCCACTATACACCACCGAAAAAAAAAGTTGACTTTACTTATAAATATTCGTACATTTGGTGTTTTGGCAATTTATATTTAATTTAAGGTATTTAATCAATATCCCTGAGAATCAAACCCATGAACTTAGCCTTGTTAGTGCCATGCTTTATTGATGTCCAAGAGTTATATGTGTGTTATAACGACACCAAAGGCTTCTGTTTATTGGCATACCCACAAAGCCCATTGCTTTTAATGAGTAGCATTGCTGTCAATTTTTTTTTTTTTTTTGAAGTTTCTTAAAATATTCTGATATTTTATTTTTAGGTAAGAAAGATTATATTATCATTTACAGTGTAGATATCTTTGAAGACAGAAGCTTTAAACCTACCAGCTTTTTAACAATATTAAATATGTAATAGGCAGATGAAAGCTCTGTAGAAGTAATCCTGCTGAATACTAAAACCTGTCAAAGCCATATGATAGCTTTGTGTGAGAGAGTGAAACTGAGAATGTGGTTACTCTTCATTTTGATGACATTCGCTGACTACAAGCAACTACATGTCAACTAACTCTCATTACAGTATTGGTAGACTGATAATAGTAACAAAGTAGAACTACTTAAGTACTAAAATGCTGTATCTGTACTCTACTAGAGTATTGTTTTTTTCTTCAGTAGATATTTTCGATGAATTTAATACTTTTACTTCGATTTTTTTTAATGTTATGCTAGTTACTCATTACAATTATACAAATTTTTACGAATCATTCGTTGCAAGTTGGCTTTCATGCTGCCTAAATCACACGCCAGTTTTATAGGGTAATGGTCTTGATTGACACACACATTGACAACTAATGCAGGGGTTGTTTGGCGGCTGCCAAAGCAAATTTGTATCCCGCCAAAGCGCCTTATTTGATTGCTAGTTCAAACTTTTGACTGCTTTCTTTAATAATTACATGACACAATACTTGTACTTTTAGTACTTAAGTAGTGAATTTTAAAATAAACTACTTGCAATACATAAGTACATCAAATGTTGAATACTTTAGTACTCCTACTTAAGTGTGGTGCTTAAAGAGCACTTCAACTTCTACTCAAGTCACTTTTTGGATAGAGCACTTGTACTTTTACTCAAGTCCGGGTTTCTACTTTATACATCTCTGCTGATAGGTTAGGATTAGGGTTGCTAGAATAAGTTGAAATTAACTTGCCAAGTTATGTATAGTTAGTGAATGTCTGTTGTGGACCATCAAAATAAAGATTTAGCAGATATTCAGATATTCCCTTTCAAATGTACTTGAGTAAAGTCATGAGTACTCCCCAAAAATGATACTCGATTAAAGTACAGATCCTTCAAAATTGTACTGAAGTACTATACTCAAGTAAATGTACTTCGTTACTGTCTGGCTCTGGTTAGTAGAATGTTTAAATTTTGCCCTATGAACTTGAATATGTCTCAATCGTTCATGAGACCCACGAAAGCCAATGGCAGGCAGCAATTTTTGAATTGAATTTGAGCGTTATGGCAGATGGGAACATTGAACACATTTTAGGGTTGTAACAAATAAATCTTTGGCCTCTGAAGACTTGGAATGGTGCAGTTTTGAGGACTTGTGACTGTGCTTTTCTTTGCCTATTGCATACATTCAAACTTAGCCAACATATCATGACTTATATCATATCACATAATTTTAATCATGGTGAAGTCCCTTGCCCATTCACACCAAAGGATCCTCATTGAAAGCAGTTGGTAGGAGACATTTGGAGTCTGTATTGCGAGTGTGAGAACGGCTTGGTATACAATCTGCCACAGATCAAGCTGCTATTAAAAGTTCATATCACACTCCAGTCAATCATATAAAGACTGCTTCCCAAACAGGTTTTTAACACCCTGTTTGAGGGTCCTTTGAGTGGCGAGGAGCACCAGAAGTGTTTAGCAGCTCTCACTGAAGAGTGACCATTAATGAAGAGTTCAGACACTAGAGACGTTACAGAAGTCAGGCGTACTGCACATTTAGGAGACCCTTGGCCATTCGGGGAAACTGCTTCATGCCTGAGAATAAAAGGCTTCAGGTCTCATGAAAAACACACCAGGTCTCAGCCGAAACAGCTTCAGGCATAAAGGCATCTGACTTGACTGCAACCTACAGTATGTATTATATTGCCATACTTAGATGCACTTTGAACTGGCAGCACATGAAACTGTGCATTGTATTACTAAGGGATGCAAGAGTACTTTTTGTGATAATAATGTACTATGTCTAAAAGCCCTTTGTCTGATATCCTCAAGTCTTAGACCTGAAACCTGACATTGTTTTTCATGAGACCTGGAGCATTTTAGTCCTTTAACAAATTACTGGGGTCTGAGGATGTCCTAATATGATAACACAGTCTCATCCCAAGAAGTCAAATAACTGACGTCTTTTGACCATACGTCAACATCCGCCTTTTTAGGGTACCCTTAAACGTCGGTTACATGACAATCCCGGGCCGTCATACAACTGAAGCTTTACCTTTAACGTCAGTTAGGTGACAGGGTTTAGGGGTAGGTTTAGGTCTGGGGTAGGGTTAGGATTCGATAACCTCATCTAACTGACGTTTAAGGGGGCCCTAAAAAGGCGGATGTTGACGTATGGTCAAAAGACGTCCCAAGACGTCAGTTATATGACGTCTTGGGATGAGACTGCGCTGAATATGACATAATATGACCATACAGACAGTTGTTTTCTTTCAGCTGAAATCTTTAGCTTAAAGGAGTAGTTCACTTTAAAAAAAAACAAACAAAAAAAACTTTTGCTGATAATTTACTCACCCCCATCTCATCCAAGATGTCCATGTCTTTCTTTCTTCAGTCGAAAAGAAATTAAGGTTTTTGATAAAAAATTTCCATGATTTTTCTCCATATAATGGACTTCAATGGGAACCAAACGGTTCAAGGTCCAAAAGACAGTTTCAGTGCAAACTGTTAAAAGGGCTTTAACCGACTCCAGACCGCCCATTTAATAAATAAATAACAAAGTTTAAGTTTTATAAGCTCAAATGGTCAACTTGCTCTGGTCTGTGATGTGTGTTCGTGACTCTCCTGTTCGAACTCGTTCATCAAAATGAACAAATCTTTTCCCAAGCCAACTAGTTCATTTCGTTCGTTTAATTAACCAAATGACACAAAAAAGATTTGTTCATTTTGATAAACTAGTTCGAACAGGAGAGTCACAAACGTGCATCACAGAACAGAGCAAGACGAGCATTTGTGCTTATAAAACTTAAAATTTGTTATTTCTTTTTAAAAAAAAAAAGAGTAATTGTTTCGCTTGATAAGACCCTTATTCGTTGTCTGGAATCGTTTAAAGCCCTTTGAACAGTTTGTACTGAAACCGACTTGAACCGTTTGAAGTCCATTATATGGAGAAAAATCCTGGAATGTTTTCATCAAAAACTTTATTCTTCATTTCTTTTCGACTGAAAAAAGAATGACATGGACATCTTGGAGTAAATTATCAGCAATTTTTTTTTTTTTTAAGTGAACTACTCCTTTAAGAAATGGGCTTGTTCCAGATAGATGGACCTATTTATCACCGAGATTTTTAAATGATTTATTTATAATTTTGTACTAACTTATTTCTTCTATTTTAAAGCGAAATGTTTATTTTCTGTGACACAAACATATCCAAACTGAATGTCAAACATGCTTCAAAACACTCCCTGTCTGCCATTGGTCGAATAAACCCCAAACTCACGCCATTGGTCGAGCCAGTGTTGCTATATCAGCTGGTCGGGATGTTAAAACAAACAGCACTCTTCATGGAAATCTGCCTGAGAAATGCATTTTATTGATGTCTCTGTAATAAGACTATTAGATAGTTTAAAAACAATTGCACAACATATCATCTTTAACACGATGTCACAGTGATGTATTAGCAGACATGCAGACTTTTCCTGTTCTTTTTTTTCCCCCTGGTAATGAGTAAAAACATGCACACAGACCAGTGTAATCCTGCAACGATGCTTGAGCTCTGCTAACAAGTCCCCTGACATTACCTGTGTCTCTCATCTTCTCAAGCATCTGCTTCCAGACTGTCGATGATAAAGGACAGGTGTTAAAAAGGGAAATTACACACATCTGCAGTTGCTGGGAGTGTCCAGATTTAATTATGTTATAGTTTAACGAGCTGAGAAGAGCTGAGACACTGCACTCTTCACAGAAAGTGAGATACTTACCACGATTTGAAGAAAGTGGCCAATCTGTGATACATTTCCCTGGGGTTATAAACGCCTCTGGAATGAGTGTAAGTCTAGTTTAAAGTTGAAAGTAAGTGCTACTTAGTTGAAGTAAAGTGCTACTCTAAAACTAAGAGTTCATGATTAGAAATCAAAAGTCCAACCCCTCTGCTTTAAAGGACACCGTGCACTTTGTGCTAGTAACATAAGAGATTAAATTAGCAGATCTCACAATATGAAACATTAATGACTATAGCACAGAAAGGGGTGTTTGCTCGTGCTAGTCTGGCTCTTGCTCCAGTCATTTTTACGATGTCTCAAAGTTTCACAGTTTGGGAAATAATTTTTATTACAGATCAATTTGGTGTCATTTGTGGCCCAGTCGCCCTGTATTCCTTCTATTACATATGTATTTTCTATGAATATGCAAATGAGCCCCGCCTCCGCTCCCTCACTCAGCTCAGAGATCCACTGGTTGACGATAACACGTTGATCTGATTTGTTACAAGGTCGTTTGTGACACCAGCGATTTCAAACCGTGTTTTTGAGACTGTCCTCAGCAATGCTGTCGACTTATGAATTTACACATGGTTTGTCTTAAAGCATATTAAAAACACCACATATAAACAATATTAAAAACTGGATTTTCACCACAGGGGGACTTTAACTTTAGTGGTACTTTGCAAACTGTTTTATCAAAATAATTAAATGTTTTATCATAACTATAAACTACGGAAGAGGATTAGGGCCAACCAATAATAAAAAAATAAAACCATCTCGAGATTAGTCATTATAATGCGAGATTAAAATCGTTAAATTTCGAGAAAAAAGTCTAAATACATTCTTGAGAATAAACTCATTAAATAACGAGATTAAAGTCATTATAATGCGAGATTAAACTTGTCGAATTTCGAGAAAAAAGTCGAAATACATTCTTGAGAATAAACTCATTAAATAACGAGATTAAAGTCATTATAATGCGAGATTAAACTCGTTAAATTTCGAGAAAAAAGTCGAAATACATTCTTGAGAATAAACTCATTAAATAACGAGATTAAAGTCATTATAATGCGAGATTAAACTCGTTAAATTTCGAGAAAAAAGTCAAAATACAATCTTGAGAATAAATTTATTAAATAACGAGATTAAAGTCGTTATAATGCAAGATTAAACTTGTTAAAATTCGAGAAAAAAGTCAAAATACAATCTTGAGAATAAACTTATTAAATAACGAGATTAAAGTCATTAAAATGCGAAATTAAACTCGTTAAATTTCGAGAAAAAAGTCGAAATACAATCTTGAGAAAAAACTCATTAAATAACGAGATTAAAGTCATTATAATACGAGATTAAACTCGTTAAATTTCGAGAATAAAGTCGAAATACAATCTTGAGAATAAACTCATTAAATAACAAGATTAAAGTCATTAAAATGCGAGATTAAACTCGTTAAATTTCGAGAAAAAAGTCAAAATACAATCTTGAGAATAAATTTATTAAATAACGAGATTAAAGTCGTTATAATGCGAGATTAAACTTGTTAAAATTCGAGAAAAAAGTCGAAAAACAATCTTGAGAATAAACTCATTAAATAACGAGATTAAAGTCATTAAAATGCGAGATTAAACTCGTTAAATTTCGAGAAAAAAGTCAAAATACAATCTTGAGAATAAACGTATTAAATAACGAGATTAAAGTCGTTATAATGCGAGATTAAACTTGTTAAAATTCGAGAAAAAAGTCTAAAAACAATCTTGAGAATAAACTCATTAAATAACGGGATTAAAGTCATTAAAATGCGAAATTAAACTCGTTAAATTTCGAGAAAAAAGTCAAAATACAATCTTGAGAATAAACTTATTAAATAACGAGATTAAAGTCATTAAAATGCGAAATTAAACTCGTTAAATTTCGAGAAAAAAGTCGAAATACAATCTTGAGAAAAAACTCATTAAATAACGAGATTAAAGTCATTATAATGCGAGATTAAACTTGTTAAAATTCGAGAATAAAGTAGTGTTTTGAGAAAAAAAAGTCGAAATGAAATCAGTGTTCACATATAGCCATAGAGGACATGGCAGAGTTAGATCACTTGGTCAAGCTATATTTTTTAGACTTATACAAATTCAATAAAAAAAGAAATACTATCGACTTTAGCTAACTATGACAGAATAATAATTAGCATACAAACTTTAAAGAGAATTTGCAAGCGACTAGGTCTTTTTAGAGGGAAAAATCAGTCTAATTTGCGCGATGTACTCGCTTTTGTCCAACATGAAATGACAACCAGTGGACAAATGCAGGGTTATCGCTGCTTCACCTACGCGCGATTCATTGAGGTTTCATGGTTTCCCAGGATACAATAAGACGGCCAATTAAACTTGTTGATCCTCAAGGTGTGGAATTTCGACGAAGGAGACGCTTGAGAAGACGCCAGTTCGACTTTTTTCTCGAAATTTAAAGAGTTTAATCTCGCATTATAATGACTTTAATCTCGAGATGGTTTTATTTTTTTATTTTTTTTATTGGTTGGCCCTAATCCTCTTCCGTACGTAATAAACACACTGGTTTGTAGCGAAATTTTTTTGACCATTTAATGGGATAGTTCACTTTGAAATGTTTTATCTTACCTCAAGGGCATCCAAGATGTAGGTGTCTTTGTTTCCACAGTATTTTCAATTTTGACATTTTTCGGTCAAACCGTTCTTGTCTGTCAGTCATATAATGCAGGTCTATGGTCACCACCTCAAAGAGCATGCACAGAGAAGTCCAGATTAAACATGATTTAATGACTCGTAAATATAAGTACACATTGATGGCCTAAGACACGAAACGAGCGGTTTGTGTGAGAAAACGACACTTCTGAAATCTCTGTGTAATCAATAAGAGAGATCACTGCCGTTGTTTGGGCAGACCGAAGCGCCCGTGCCCTCAGATCACTTGGACGTGGCTGTGATTACAAGAGGTAAAAACGATATAAATACTGTCCGTTTTCTCACACAAACCGCTCGTTTCGTGTCTTAGGCCATCAATGTGTACTTACATTTACGAGTCATTAAATCATGTTTAATTTGGACTTCTCTGTGCATGCTCTTTGAGGTGGTGACCATAGACCTGCATTATATGACTGACAGACAAAAACAGTTTGACCTAAAAATATCAAATTTGAAAATACTGCGGAAACAAAGACACCTACATCTTGGATGCCCTTGGGGTAAGCTAAAACATACCAAAGTGAACTATCGCTTTAAGATTTTACCCTTGTAGTCAATAATTGTATCACCAACATGTCATATTTAAGAGAAAACAAAGCACAGACAAAGGCTTGTCTTAAAGCACAAACATTAAGAGCTTTAAATGTGTCACGTTTGTGACTCTCTCTGGTTTTCGCTTCAGGTTCAGCCCGTACGAGTGGTACGACGCCCATCCGTGTAACCCCGGCTCCGACGTGGTGGAGAACAACTTCACGCTCCTCAACAGCTTCTGGTTTGGCGTGGGCTCCCTCATGCAGCAAGGTACGCTTCGTCTTCAACACACTTTGCAAACGAGCCAGAAAACCCGACAACACATGACTGTCAAAACCACGGAGTTCAGTCTCTTCTGACAGGAGGAGGGAGCATTCGTCTTGCTTGTCAGTGAGGCGGGGATGAGGGGTGTCAAACATCTGTCACACACACTGGCAGGTTAGAGGGATAACAGCCGCGTTTGTTTGCTGACACTCGGAGACCTTCAGGAGTGTGAGTTTGAGGTTGGGATGACAGTCGACAGAAGACTGTTTCAGCGCGAGCACAGGCACAGTGGGACGTCTGCTTCTTGTTTATTGCATGTTTCAGTCGTTCGCCGTGGCTGACGTGCAGCTTCAGAGGGACGGGAATCAGAGGGAAATTAATATAGCCTTTTTGAGACGTCCATGACTTTGCCTTGAATGTAGACGAGACTCAGGGGAAGAGCAAGAGAAGAGACGTTGAGTTGGAAAACATCATCGAATTAAAACAAAATGAGGGTAATGAAAATATTGAGCACACTGATTCAAACCAATAACTCGATTGAACCTGATTCATTAATGGCTTTACTTAAAGCCTTTATCTATAATGCATTATAACGGTACACTCTAAAAAATGCTGGGTTGTTTTAACCCAACTTTGGGTCAAATATGGACTAACCCAGCCATTGGGTTAAATTTTTACATTACATTTTTAACCCAGCATTTTGGGTTCGTCCATATTTGACCCAAAATTGGGTTAAAACAACCCAGCATTTTTTAGAGTGTATTCATAATGTACATCATAATGCATTAAATATTAATTGTAAATGTAATGAATTGCAAATTTCATCCACGTTTTAATGCATCATGACGCAAGCATAATCCAACTGCATCTTTTTATGGTCTTAATTGACCTATGGCTAAGCCACGCCCTCAAATGCGATGAGCCAATCACAGTGCGCAGCTAACCCAATACACATTCTCTGCTTCCACGTCCATTTTAATTCGTTAATTCTGGTCATTTTAAGTTTAAAATGGTCAAACGGTGTGTATGGAGTACATGCGTGTGTATTTATTTATTTTTTTTATTCATGTTTACACTGTGACCTGTACATTTTGGCCCGGAGCTGAAGCTTTTCATCGACCTTCTCAACAATAAAATACTTAATTTAACCCTCCAATGCATAGTTAAGGCTCTTTAGGTGACTTCAAGATGATAAATAATATTTCTGTCTCCAAATATCAGCAATTACCTCCTGTGAAACGTCTCCTACTGTGACCGCTGCCATATAGCGCCTGTGAGTGGAGGGGGCGTGGCTTAGCCATTATGGGTCAATTGCATTTACTTTGAGTTTTTCTGTCTCATCATGTTTATTTAAGACTGAAATTCACTCAAAATATGTCAGTTTCGCTGTTGGAAATACATTGAGATGGAAAACTTTCAAGAATTGCTAACAAAACCAGTATTTTAGTGTTTTAATGGAACCACTTTTGAATAAGAAGTGCTGATCTGAGATTTTAACTCAACACAACAACAAAGGGAATGACACTCTCTCTCTCTCTCTCTCTCTCTCTCTCTCTCTCTCTCTCTTTTAAATATTGTCTTTGGCTCTGTGCTGAGCGCCACCTCACAGAATTAGATGGAGGAAGCCATTAAAGACACGCAGGGGTTGAAGCTGTTTTCACACCCCTCACAGGCACACATTAGCAAATGATACCCTCAAAACCAAACGGCATAATAAAGCATGCCAGGGAGCGATGAAATGTTTTACCTCATGTAAGGAGACGAATAGAAAAGACTTGCCCCGTGCCCACGGCGGCTCTTTACTCACGGGGAGTGCAAATCTGCTGCACTTTTCATTACGCATGAAATCTCCACTGAGATGATATGCACGCGATACCTGTCGTTTCAAACACATGCTTCATGTATTGGTTGTCTGGAGCCAATAGAAGTTCTCTCTTGACTCTCGAAGTCATCTGACGTACTGTATACTGTGTGTGTTTGTTTACTCACTGGGGTTGCATGGATGATTGATGATTTACACTTTAGCAGCAATTTAGAGTCTAAAAACTGTGAAAGCATCATTTAGTATTAGATATTGTTACAAATAAGATTGCAGCCAGTAGTCACAGCTAGTGAAACACAAGGTCAAAATTCCCTTTAACTAACTATAAACTAATAATTTTGCCTTATTAAACCTCTATTATTACTAGTTAGTAAGGTAGTTGCTAAGTTTAGGTATTGTAGGATTAATGAATGTAGAATATGGTATTAAAATGTGCATTATAAGAACTAATAAACAGCCAATATCCTAGTAATATGCATGATAATAAATAACTTCATTGTGTGAATTGGGCCTAAAGTTATTATTACCCAATTATTAAAAACAAGTATAATAAATGTACTTGAAATACAAGTATGTCATGCTAAATAAACTACAAATGCATTTATAGAAGTACAGTTGTACTTCTGATATACTAAACTGATATAATTAAAGTCTTGGAGCAACTCATTTTGTACTTAATGCCCGTCAGTTGTCCAGAAATAGTGCTGAGGCTTAACTAAAGAAATACTCAATTATATTTGATTGTGCTAAAGTGAAACTATTGCAAGTATACCCTTAAAAAGTTTGCATTTGAAGACTCAGCTATAGCCGTGATATTAAAACACATTTAGGCGTAATATTAAGAAATGTGCATTTTGCAAGAAAGAAGTACTCCACATAAAGTGTAATTATAACATTTATATCAGTCTCACGCAATATTCTAGTAAATATCTTAATTTGTAGAATGCTTAGTATGAAATAAATGTATTTTAAACACATTCTGGTTAAGTTTGTCACGAGGGACAAAATAAAACTGATCGGTAAAGACAATCTACGAAATCGGTATTTAATATTTCACACTCTCAAAAAAATTAAAGGTCCAAAAGCTGTCACTGGGGCTGTACCACTTTTGTACCTAAAGGGTGCAAATTGGTACCTTAATGGTACATAATAGCACCTAAATGTACATATCAACACCTAAAATGTACATGTTAACACCTAAAACCTAAAATTTACATATCAGCACCTTAATGTACATATCAGCACCTACAATGTACATATTAGCACTTAAAATGTACATATTAGCACCTTAAATGTACATATTAGCACTTAAAATGTAGGCTACATAATAGCATCCTAAATGTACTTATTAACATCTAAAATGTACATAATAGCACCTAAATGTACATATTAGCACCTAAAATGCACATAATTGCACCTAAATGTCCATATTAGCACCTCATAATGTACATATTAGCACCTAAAATGTACATAATAGCACCTAAATGTACATATCAACACCTAAAATGTACATGTTAACACCTAAAACCTAAAATTTACATATCAGCACCTAAATGTACATATCAGCACCTAAATGTACATATTAGCACTTAAAACGTACATAATAGCACTTAAATGTATATAATAGCCCCTAAATGTACATATTAGCACCTAAAATGTACATAATAGCACTTAAATGTACATATTAGCACTTAAAACGTACATAATAGCACCTCAAATGTACATATTAGCACCTAAAATGTACATAATAGCATCCTAAGTGTACATATTAGCACTTAAATGTACATAAAAGCACCTAAAATGTACACATTAGCACTTAAAATGTAGGCTACATAATAGCATCCTAAATGTATACATTAGCATCTAAAATGCACATATTTGCACCTAAATGTCCATATTAGCACCTCATAATGTACATATTAGCATCTAAAATGGACACAAGTTTAATTTTTGTAAAGGTACAGCCCCAGTGACAGCTTTTGTACCTTTTTTTTTTCTGAGAGTGCACATGTGAGAAATGCAGTGAATTCTTCCTAATTTTCTTCCTAATTATTTATCCTAATTTTTATTTTATTTTCATAAAACTAGACAAGCAATGAGATTACATGAAAAGAAAGTAGAGCCTGAATTAAACTCAAGACATCTGAAACTATCCTAAGCTGTTTTTTTTATCTATATGGTCTGTCAGTGGTCTAATAGGAAAAAAAAATAGATTCATAATGAAACGCAAAGTAACGTCAATAAAATATTCATCTGGGAAAAATAATCCGTTATTATTTTAAGACAACAGATAATAAACGAGATCTAATAAAACCAGACACTAAACAATCGGCACGCGTAGGAAATAAACGTTTCGACACGTCAGAAAACACCAGACAGTGTGTGCCTTAATTCTTTTCCCCGTCGTCACGTTCAGTCGGCGGGAAGCTCCTTCACGCTAGCGCTCAGCGCTTCAGCTCAACCATTTGTCATGTCTGTCCAAAACTGATTCAGGTTACACAAGGCCCGCTCAACAAAAGCGGATGTTTCATTGTGCAGAAATGCAGATCATCACATGAAAAATGTTCTGTTTTTGCGTTCGGCTAGTTACGGGTGATCAGCTAAACACACTTTACCAGCAAACCGTGGTCCTCTCTTTGCCTCTGACTGACTGCACACATGTTCATTTGGAGACCGCTGTGCTTTATCAGTTTTGCTCAATCTTGCACACATCTTCACTTGTTCTCCATGCGACTGTTTAAAACATTATTGCTTCAGTGAAGAGCGTGAGTCTGAATACTGAGCACTCGCCTCTGGCGCTGCGCCGCTCGTGACTCCTCTTCCAGGAGGAGGTGGGAATGTTAAGTGCAGATAATTATTCTCATCGGGAGCCGCTTTGAGTTCGACCGGGCCGGTGTGTTTCAGTGCTTGTGAGGGGAATAGCAGGACAGGGAAAAGCAGGTCATCATAATTAATGTGACTCTGAAGCAAACCCGCGGGACGAACACACTTTGCCTTCGCTACTTTTACACGGCGATAAGCAGATGTTGAGCTTCAGCGTAATGCTGGGAATCTGTCGGCTGGTTGTTTGCCGGGACATCAGCATTTCTTTAATAGCTTCACATCTGAAAAAGCAAAGACCCGATAGAGCCGGTTTGATTCTGTGTGTTGTGGCAAAAATGATTGTATTTAAATAATAATAAAAAAAGCTTGTCAACTAAATTTGTATTTTAGCCAATACAGAGCTTAGTGAAGGTGAACTGTGTGTGTGTGTGTGTGTACAACTATCTTTATGAGGACCTCCCAGACAGACAGCAAACTGACATTGAATCAACGTGGAAACGACGTCTCTCATGACATCGAAACAACGTTGATTTTGCTCATCGAATTAACGTTGAACCAACGTCAGACGCGGCATTCTTCAAAGCTAAATGAAAATCGAAAATTGGTTTGCTTTCATAACGTTGAAACAACGTTGATTTCAAGTTGATTTTCCGTTAGTTTTGAAAGAATGCCGCGTCTGACGTTGGTTCAACGTTAATTCGATGAGCAAAACAATGTCAGATCAACGTTGTTTCGATGTCATATTTCCACGTTGATTCAATGTCAGTTTGCTATCTGGGTAGGGCCTTCCCAGACAGCAAACTGACATTGAATCAACGTGGAAACGACGTCTCTCATGACATTGAAACAACGTTGATTTTGCTCATCGAATTAACGTTGAACCAACGTCAGACGCGGCATTCTTCAAAGCTACCCCAGATGGCAAACTGACATTGAATCAACGTGGAAATATGACATCGAAACAACGTTGATCTGACATTGTTTTGCTCATCGAATTAACGTTGAACCAACGTCAGACGCGTCATTCTTTCAAAACTAACGGAAAATCAACTTGAAATCAACGTTGTTTCAACGTTACGAAAGCAAACCAATTTTCAATTTTCATTTAGCTTTGAAGAATGCCGTGTCTGACGTTGGTTCAACGTTAATTCGATGAGCAAAACAATGTCAGATCAACGTTGTTTCGATGTCATATTTCCACGTTGATTCAATGTCAGTTTGCTATCTGGGTAGGGCCTTCCCAGACAGCAAACTGACATTGAATCAACGTGGAAACGACGTCTCTCATGACATTGAAACAACGTTGATTTTGCTCATCGAATTAACGTTGAACCAACGTCAGGCGCGTCATTCTTTCAAAACTAACGGAAAATCAACTTGAAATCAACGCGTTGTTTCAACGTTATGAAAGCAAACCAATTTTCGATTTTCATTTAGCTTTGAAGAATGCCGCGTCTGACGTTGGTTCAACGTTAATTCGATGAGCAAAATCAACGTTGTTTCAATGTCATGAGAGACGTCGTTTCCACGTTGATTCAATGTCAGTTTGCTGTCTGGGAAATGAAAATCGAAAATTGGTTTGCTTTCCTAACGTTGAAACAACGTTGATTTCAAGTTGATTTTCCGTTAGTTTTGAAAGAATGACGCGTCTGACGTTGGTTCAACGTTAATTCGATGAGCAAAACAATGTCAGATCAACGTTGTTTCGATGACATGTTTCTACGTTGATTCAATGTCAGTTTGCTATCTGGGCTTTCACACCTAACTTGTTTAGTCCGGACTTTCGGACTTTTCAGTTCGGTCCGAATCAAAATTACAGGTGTGAAACCTCCCGCGCACCACGGAACAAACAGACGAAAAGAGGTAGTCTCGGTCCGGATCGAACTGAACAAAGGTTTGGTTCGTTTCTGGTGTGAAAGCATTTCTGTATGGTTCGGACTTTCAGAAATATACAGAGCGACCGCTTTTCAGAAAAATACCCCTTTTCAGTTGGTACACATGGTGACGTTTTTTGTGGGCGGAGCGTTTTTTGGAGGCAGAACGATCCCTCTGGCCGCTTCACTAACGCAATTATTGTTAGCTTGTTTCTTTTAACAATGACTGGAGAAAATCCGATTTTATCTTAACGTGTAAGGTCACTCAGTGTCCAGGACCGCGGTTGTTATTTTCAAAAGTTATTTTTAACGGACAGAACCAGATTGGCCGACACGCTCACTCAATGCATGGATGATCTGACAGGATTAACGTACGTTCCCTCGGGTGAGTGGCCTGACTTCTACACCTACCTTATAGAGAAACCGATCGTAAATCGTAAAAGAAACTGAGGGTATATAATTCTTTAGATGCCTATATGGTCCTGTACAAGACTTGTGTGTACGATCCGCAGTTCTGCCGAGCCAGCGCCAAGACCACGACAATGTAAAGAGTGAAATTACGAATATTTTCTAGGAATAAAAATTCCAGATACAGCATATTCATTTTTCATCAATTCTTGCACCAAACAACACAACAAGATGACATTTAATAATACTAACAATTATTTAAGCTCCTTATTATGTGGCCGGTTTGTATTGGCCGCCTCCAGTTTTCACTTTGTTTTGCCTCCAGCTAGCGCCGTGACGTACTGTAACTGTGACGTCGACGCAGAAGTGGTCTATAACATCGCGACTACCTGAAAAGAGTGTTTACTGTTATAAAAAACTGATTTGTGAGCTTTAGTGGAACTAAAGGTGTGAGAATAAACACGAAACACACGTGATCGTTGTCGTGCGGTGAATCACTCTCGCGGTAGTTTGATAGCATACGTCACAGTCATGTGGTGTCGGCGCTGCATCAAGTCGGACAAAATTTCTAACCAGCATGCACTGCTTCAAGTCAGCCGCCGATCGGTCTGCGCGAGCTGAAGTTGAACCAGCCTAAAGAGAGTAATGTGAGGACATTTTGTCCACTCCTCAGAAACATAGATGTACAAGAGTCTGTGTGTGTGTGTGTGTGTGTGTTAGAGAGAGAGAGAGAGTGTGTGGGTGCGTGCTCATGGTGCATGTGTGCGTGCATACGTGTGATTGAGTGTGTGTGTGTGTGTGTGTGCAGTTTTCCAGCTTCTCATTGCACTGTTCACTGGCTCCCATCCTGAAGGAACTCTCTGTTTGTCCATCATTTCTGTGTTTGTTTGGTTTGAGTCTCTGTGTATTCGAGATGAGCTGCAGGATGAACTGATATTTTAGAGGAATAAAAGTTTTTTCAGAGAAAATATTGTAAATATTGTTGTACATTTTGAACAGTATTCAGTATTTTTTGAAATCTTTTATCATATAGATTTAATTAAAACATTGTATTAATTAATTTAATTACTTACTACTGTTCCAAAATTTGTGTTTGATAAGATTCTTTTTGCCTTTAAATAAGTCTCTTATGCTTACCAAAGCTGCCAAAATATGAATATTGTGAAATATTATTACACTGTAAAAAATAAACCTTAAATTTTACGGTAAAAAACCGGCAGCTGTGGTTGCCAGAACTTTACCGTTAAAAATACGGTAGGAACGTTAATGGTTTTACAGACTTAACTTAAAATTTACAGTAATAAACCGTATTTTATTTTCTGATAAAATGTGGATTTACCAACTTATTGATGTATTGATATCTGTTTTAGACCATTGTAATACACTGACAACCAACAATCAGCAGTGATGAGAGTTACATGAGCAATCACAGCTTATCACAAGTGAATACTTGTATAAAGCAATACTTTTTTAAAGAAGCTGCACAATGTCATTCACACAAATATTAAGCACCATCATGGTAACTGAAATTAAAAAAATGCAATAAACATTAATTTAACAACATTAAATGTAACATATAACCCTAAAGGACATAACTGATTAGAAAATAAAACAATAAAACTATGAGGAACCATAGTTATTTCAACAAAAATACATAAAATGTGAAGTGAATTGTGGGAATGTCAATTTACGGTTTTTCACTGTAAATTATACAATGATTTGTTCTTTTTCACTTTCAAAAACTGTAAATTTAACGGTATTTTACTGTAAAATTATATCACGTTTCCGTACTATACACGGTAAATAACTGTGATATATTTTTACAGTAAAATACCGTTAAATTTACAGTTTTTGAAAGTGAAAAAGAACAAATAATTGTATAATTTACAGTGAAAACCGTAAATTGACCGTGTATAGTACGGAAACGTTCTGTTTACCAATTAACAGTTTTGCACTGTAGCATTTTTACAGTATTTTACCGTTAAAATCACAGTTATTTTTTACAGTCTAAAATAACTTTTTTCTAGTATTCCTGTGATCAAAACTGAAATTTCAGCATCATTAATCCAGTCTTCAGTGTCACATGACCCTTCAGAAATCACTCTAATATGATGATCTGAAACAGTTGTATATATGTATAACAGTGCAAAAGTCTTAACTCTTCACTTTAATGTTTGATTAATTTAGTGTGTCATTGCAAGGTATTAATTTCTCTTAAAAAGGCTGTATCACCTCATTAATTGAGAGACTACATGGACTGTACAGTATGTACAGGACCTCTGACGCATTGGCTCCACATTCCCTATTCTCATAAACATATATTAGCATAAAAAATAACCATAAACTCTTGGTGTGTTTTTCTGTAGTCAGTTAATGCTGCATTGACTCTGTGTGCAGGTTCAGAACTGATGCCTAAAGCGCTCTCGACTCGAATCATCGGAGGAATCTGGTGGTTCTTCACCCTCATCATCATCTCCTCCTACACAGCAAACCTGGCAGCGTTCCTCACCGTGGAGCGGATGGACTCGCCCGTGGACTCGGCCGATGACCTGGCCAAACAGACCAAAATAGAGTTCGGCGTCGTCAAAGATGGAGCCACCATGTCCTTCTTCAAGGTAACCCCTCCGAAACCAGCGGGTGGACCTTTAGCGATCGCAAGACGTGCCGTTTATTCTTCGTTGAGAGCCGCTGCTGAATGTTAACACGAGATGTGTTTGAAAGAACTTTTCGAAAAAAAGGAAGGAGCGAGAAAGAGAGAGGGAGAGAGAATCAATACAATTTCACAAAAGTATTTTTTAAGCTCTTCCAGTTAGATCTTAATTCCCACTGTAAAAGCAAATTATCCTGCGCTGTCACTTCTCTTCCATGTTTGAAGTGTTCCTTCATAATGATTTTTTTTTTTTTACTATTATTATTCCAAAAGTTTCAACTTTTGCCTGCAGGGTTTTGCTTTTGAGTTTTGGCTCTCAGAAGCACAGAAAGCACATCAGGTTTCTGAGCGACACAAAATGAAGCTGTCGATTGCATATTCATATCTTCTTTCAAAATATAGGCTGCTTTCGTGGTTTCTGCTGCTGTCGAAGATTTTCTCTTTCTATAAATAACCGTACATTAGCATTTTTTGTTTTGAGTTATCTCAAATTTCTATCAATACTATTTTTACACTTCCAAAGCCTTGCTTTGACATTTAGTGTGCACAGTTCCTTTGATTATGTGTCCTTTTCGTCTCCTGAAGTATATGATTTCAGCATTAGAATGAACAGGTGTTTGCAATTACAATAGCAAGCTGTCGCCAAACACCTTCAGCTCTGCTTGTTTTCTGAGACTTCAGCGGTGGAGCCACAAATGTTCATTTAATATTTGATCAAGATTAACCGGCGAGCGCTCACACTTGTTCATTTTCTTGGGTCACTTTAAATGTTTCATGGAATTGAGCCAACAATTATCCGTGATTAGCCACGGTTTCTTACGTGACCTCCTTTAAAAAACCATGAAATGCCATTTAAACCGAGTGGTAATCGTGATGTTAAAGTTTCATTATCTTGAGACCGCTAACCACACACGCACACACACACACACACACACATACAATTGGTTCCACTTCTAAGTCAGAATATATTTCCTTACTGTAATTTCTGCAGATATAGTAAACTGTGCATATTATGATATGTCTGTATCAGTAGAATAATGTGTTTCGCTAATTTGAAATACGTGGCTTTGTCTACATTTTTGCCAAACTGCACAAATATAGATAGTTTTCAGCTGAAAGGATCACTATTGTTCTGTTTCACACAAATTATGACCACAGGGGCAAATAATCAAGAACGAATAAAATACCTTTTTTTTTTTTTCCACAATACAAATTTGCACTTTTATCATAGTGCATGATTTATAAACTAACACATTCTGACATTTGTATACACAATCAGCTTCATATATTTGGCTTTTTCTAGAGTAGTAAACTTGCTCAGTCGCTCATCTAATCTCATCATGACTTTTGGAATGAGATCGCGAGAGGAAAAAATGATGTTTTACTTGCGTAACGTAAGCTAACGGGAACGCCGTCATTTCACGATAGTTTTTTACCGATATTAAGAAAATATCGCAAAAGTTTTGTGGACATCTGTATTGTATATCTATATTAACACGTCATACGCTATGATTAGCTGAAAGGAAAAAGACTGATATATCTTTCTTTTCATACAGATTACATAAAGTGATAATATTTGTTTTTTAATATAAATTACTTCATTTAAAAGAAGACAATTTCAGCTTCATAACGAAACATCTTCCGTGCCTGTGTGACAAGTATCCACTGAATTACAGTTCATTTTCCGACGCTTTTCAGAATGAACTTCACTGACAGAGAGAAGGCAAAATTCTCATCGTGTTTATTTTTCTTTATTTGACACAAAGCACAAAACAAAAATAGACACTTAACAGGATCTAATGATGTATAACACTTATATGTAGTATTTGAGTCTCTTTTGCACTGATGAGGAAAAAAGTGAGCTTGTCTCACCAGCGCGATAGCCGACCCAAGAGGGTTAAAGGTGCAGTGTGTATGTTTAGCATGCCGCTAAAAATTACACACTGCACCTTTAAATAATGAGTCTAGAAAATGTGTTGAAAAAAATGTGTCTGGTCAACCCAATCTCACGGGAATTCGTATGAATTTTACGAGGTGGCTAATTCGTAACAATTCATACGACCTCACTCGTACGAATTAGTACGATTTTGCTAAATCGTACATATTTTACGAATTGGCCAATTCGTATGAATTCGTACGAATGACCTACCCCTGACCCCGCCCCTAAACTTAACCATCACGTGAGTTTAGACAAATTGTAAGAATTTGTACGAATTAGCCACTTTTTAATCACTCTTTGGTCGTGAGATAGGGTAGGTCTAGTTCATTTCTAGCGGTGAGGTTACGAATTGCAACCAACAAAAGTTATGGTGGCCGTCAGAAAATGATGTCGTCTGAGACTGTAGAGAGTAGCAAGTTAAGCAATGAGGTTTCTTTACCAGGATACCAACAATATTTACTTAATTATTCAGTAAAATGATATGTTATAGCAAATATTATTATTACTTGTTCATCATTGTCTCAATGTTTTATTCTCTGACTTTAGCAGCTCCTTTGCGCAAAGAAGAACATAGTGACAAAGCGTGTTTGTCCGTTCAGGGCCACCGTAGAAACATGCCGATGTGAGGGGACCCGCGGCGTGTAGAAATGCCTCGTTCTAAGCTAATACAAACATAACGGTTCATTATGTAAGATCTTTATACACCACTGAAAACATACCAAAACATAATTGTCAGTTTGTAATGAAAAGCATCCAGCAGGAAGTAGGCTAGCGTTCACGTACAGTGAAACGAGCACAGCTGTGGAGAAAGCAGGATAATAACTGCCATAATCCAGTGTACACAGTCACTGTTTAATCTAGGAAGTGTCAGCTGTATCACTCCAGTCACTTATTCATTCCTGTGCAGTCCAACGTTGAAGCCAATTCCCAGCCACTTTCAATTATATTGAGAGACACCAGGGAAAATAGCGTTTGAAGGGGGAGGAACAATAACAGGTGCTCAAGGTTAAGAGAAGAGCGCCAGCACCAGCACACCGCAGTGTGAAGCTGGAGAGTGTCACTGTAATGGAGACGAGGAAAATCTCCTGGATGTCTAGTGTTGCTGTCAACTGGACCTACAGCAGTTGCTGCTCTACTAATGCGGTTACAGCAAAACACATTTGTGTACATTTGTCGTTTTATGCAAAAGAAGTTAGTCCTAGTATGCAATTGTATACATTTTTGGATTCAAATTAGCATGCGGATTCAGTTGTGCATAGGTTGGTTAATTTGCACAAAATAAGCACAGGGCAAATTGTTTCTGCTTGATCAGTGAGCATTTTTATCCGAAGCAACACGTATTGAAAGTACATGAGTATCCTGAGGTTAAATGTCTTGATCAAAGTCTCAAATCTCTCATTGTGTAGCGTCATCCTTTCAGATATTAGCCTGGATCTTAAACTGCTGTCACACCACACTATTCATCAACATCAACTCCAAATACATACTTATACATTACATTATCAGCAGTTTACAGCTGAAATAAACATGCGTGACAGCAAACAAATAGCAAATTGTATTCTATTAACTTGCAAATTATCAATAATGAAATGCATAATCAGCTCATAGGTGTGGCGTTTCTGAAAAGGCTAAAATAACATGTTTGCTTCAGCAAATGTATTATTATCATGTTTGCTTTTAAGATAATTGGTTAGGTTTAGATTTTTGCTTTCGCCACGGAATGAAAAAAAAAACGTAAAACTGCGAATTTTGTTATAAAGTCAGAATTGTGAGTTAACTTTTTAACTCGTAATTGTGAAATTAAACGTCACAATTATCTTTTAAAATTTTGTGGCGAAAACAAGCTTGCATAGGGTAAAATACAATGCTTTAAACTAGGCCTGTCAAACGATTAATGGCGATTAATCGCATCCAAAATAAAAGTTTGTGTTTACATAATATACTGTATGTGGGTGCACTGTGTATAATTATTTTGTATATATATATATAAATACACACATATGCATGTATATTTAAGAAAAAATATTATTTATATGTAAAATATTTATATATAATATAAATGATATATAAATCTATATACAGTATACAAGCATGTGTGTGTATTTATATATATAAAATAATCATACACAGTGCACCCAAATATATTATGTAAACACAAACTTTTATTTTGGATGTGATTAATCGCGATTAATCGTTTGACAGCCCTACTTTAAACAAAACAGATTTGATTGAAAGCAGCTTCACACTGACAAATCATTGCAAACTTCATCAAATCCTTAAAGGGGTGATGAACTGAGAAATCAAATTTTCCTTGAGCTTTTGACATCTAAGAGGTCATCATCATATTATAAGAATATCCTGTAAGTTTCAGAACTAAAAACGTCCCTGTTAGTCCAATAAAAGCTTTTATCGACACCAGGCTTAGCAAACGACTCGTTTTTAAATGTGGGGAACTATGACGTCAAAGAGGATAAAACTCCACCCCCTCAGAAGAAGATCAACGCCTACTTCAACACGGCCGGTTTAGCCCCGCCCACTGATTCGCGCACTACACGCATAGATAAATAACATCCGGATCGAGCTACCGAGCGATACAGAATATTGTGCAGCGCCTGGTTGTGGAAGAAGACAGTCGCTGCATAAGCTTCCTCTGGACTCCAATACGACTGCATGGTTAAACTTTATTTTTAATGACGTTCCAGCTGATGAGGTAAAACATCGTCCGTCTGTTCGCTTCATTTCACTGAGGATTGTCCTGTAAACAAGACTGAATTTGCAGACCGAATAAGAGTAACGAACGGTGCTGTGCTGAGACTGAGACATGGTCGAACATGTATGGGCGAATCATTCCGGTTGGCATTTTACAGCATTGGACGTTTTCAAAACAATTTCCCCAAGTGCATCGACGGGTGAGTCGAAACTCATTATAATATGCAAAACTGTTATCCACTCACAGCAGTGGGCGTTTACTTCCAAGTCTTCAGTGCGAGACGCCCATAAAAATCCAGCGTTTTTCAGCTAGGCTCAAAACTCGGGTACAAAATAGCCTATTACTTATTCATTTGGATGTTTTTGAATGCAAAAACCAAGCGAACGTCATAAGTTGACCTCAGACAACAATATAATAAAATTTAAAAAGCCAGTTCATGACCCCTTTAAATGTTTGCTCTAAAGCAGCTCAATAGTGTCATTATTCAGCTCAAGTCATGTTGATTCAGTTCAGTTTAATAACTGTGTAAAGTGGCTCCAAATAATGAAATAAGTGTAATTCAGCTATAAGCATCACTTTTAAAGACAATAATGTTGTGTGTGTGTGTGTATACAGTATAATGTACGAACCAGCAAGCCAGAGTGATTTCCAAAAATGCAAACACATGAAAAAATGCTGCTTCTCTCTTTTAGAAATCCAGAGTGTCTACATTTGAGAAGATGTGGGCTTTCATGAGCAGCAGACAGAGCACATCGTTCGTCAAGTCCATTGAAGACGGGATCCAGAGAGTGTTAAAGTCCGACTACGCTCTGCTTATGGAGTCGACCACCATTGAGTACGTGACGCGCAGAAACTGCAACCTCACGCAGGTCGGCGGCATCATCGACAGCAAAGGTTACGGCATCGGCACCCCGAAAGGTAGATCCACCCTTAATACACCAACTGTTTTCATTCCGCAAGATAAGCGGTTGTAATATGCTAATCCATGCTGACCTTTGACCGTGACTCTACTTTCTAGCCTACACGAGATTAGGTATATTATCTCTTGGTTTGATTGGAGAAATATACCTATATATAGACATATTTTGGGACAGATTTGAAAGTGAGCTAACACTGTCACAACCTCTAAGGGTCATCCTTATGTTTCTGAACCTAAAGAAATTTAATTTAAGGATTGAACTTCATTCAAGTTTGTGATCAATAACATTGTTTAAGTGAAGTTCTATCCACCGTCATTGATATGCATGTGAATCAAAATTGAAGTTAGTTGGATCTGACCTGTGAATATGCTAAGCATGACATTTGATCAATAGATGATGTCAATATCCCATACTGACCTCTTAGTTGAATTCATAAGACTTTGCAGTGTTGAAGTAATGTTACATGGCTAAAGCCTAGTCTGACTGGAACTGTATAGTACTGTATTCATTAAAAACTGAGCGTGAAATAGACTAGATTACACAGTGTGTGTGTGTGTTTAACCTAAGCTATCTCACGACCAATTCGTATAAATTCGTAGGAGTGATTCAAAAGTGGCTAATTCGTACTAATTCATGACCTCACTCGTATGAATTTGTACGATTTGTCTAAACCCACGTGACGGTTGTGTTTAGGGGCGGGGTCAGGGGTAGGTCATTCGTACGAATTCATACGAATTGGCTAATTCGTAAAATATGTACGATTTTGCTAAATCGTACATATTTTACGAATTAGCCAATTCGTATGAATTTGTACGATTTGTCTAAACCCACGTGACGGTTGTATTTAGGGGCGGGGTCAGGGGTAGGTCATTCGTAGAAATTCATACGAATTGGCTAATTCGTAAAATATGTACGATTTTGCTAAATCGTACATATTTTACGAATTAGCCAATTCGTATGAATTTGTACGACTTGTCTAAACCCACGTGACGGTTGTGTTTAGGGGCGGGGTCAGGGGTAGGTCATTCGTACGAATTCATACGAATTGGCTAATTCGTAAAATATGTACGATTTTGCTAAATCGTACATATTTTACGAATTAGCCAATTCGTATGAATTTGTACGATTTGTCTAAACCCACGTGACGGTTGTGTTTAGGGGAGGGGTCAGGGGTAGGTCCTTCGTACGAATTCATACGAATTGGCTAATTCGTAAAATATGTACGATTTAGCAAAATCGTACTAATTCGTACGAATTAGCCACCTCGTAAAATTCGCACAAATTCCTGTGAGATCGGGTTGGTGTAACGTGTTGTTGAAACGCCTCTCCTTTCAAGCATGGAGTTAGTGTCAGAATGTGAAAGCATTCTTGTTTAATTGCAGTTTTCTCCGTACTTGATATTCCAATGAAGACTGATTCATGAATGACTTTGTTCCAGGCTCGCCGTACAGGGACAAAATCACGATCGCTATCCTGGGTATCCTGGAAGATGGGCGTCTGCACATGCTGAAGGAGAAGTGGTGGAGCGACACCAACTGTCTGGAGGACGAGCGCTATGAGACCGGTCCCATGGGCATCCAGAACCTGGGTGGCATCTTCATCGTGTTGGCATCCGGGCTGGTGCTGTCTGTGTTCGTGGCGATTGGAGAGTTCATCTACAAACTGAGGAAAACTTCAGAGCGCGAACAGGTGAGATCGACTGGAAGTGGAAACTATAATGTAATTGAGGGGGAAAAAAGGTAAAGGTTCTTGCAAAGTCCAAAATCGTCACACGTTAACAAATAAATCACTGTAAAAAATATTTTCAAGATTTGTTATCACAACATATTTTCTTTTGTCAAATCAACTTAAATAATTAATTTAGTTGAGATAACTTATTATTTTGAGTTTCTGATGATTAAATTAATCTCCTTCATTGTATTAACTCACTTTTTCCAGTTCAATCAACTTAAAATTTTAAGTCAACCACGTTACTTACTTTTTTTTTAGTTAAACCATCAATATTTTTTTACAGTGTACGACCTCACGTTGTCTCAATTATGTTGACACACTGCCTCCGAAACTTTTGTCCGTAGTACTTTTTTTCTTTTTTGGATCGGGTTCAATTTTCTGTGTGTTTCGCATCCGAATCAAGCATTTTGGGACGTTTTTTTTGACAATTCAGCGCCACCGTACAAGCGAACGCCAAAATCTTGGTCAGGATCAATTGGTTCATGGAAATTGCTGGTCTTGTTTTTAATATGTGTCTCCAGTATCGCTAGCGAAGCGCCGAACTCAGCTGCTGACATCCTGAAGTAAACTCTGAATATATCTGGATAAATCTAGCAGCAAACTCTCCTTCCTCTCTACGCAATATCAGGTCCCAATATTTCCTTCTTTTTCTCTTTTTATGAAGAGAGAGGACAACAAAATCATCCTCGCTGCTTGAAGACTCCATTGATTCGCATTGATGTGCTGGGTTTTTTTTTTTCACAACAGATTAATTAATAGTTATCAGACTCAGTGTGCAAGGGTTTGTTCGTGACAAATTTTTAGGATGACCCTTGTAGTGTGCAATTGAACCTGGTTGAAAGTAAGCTTTTAAAACAGTTATGACTTAAAATTTCACCATATTGTGGAGATGCCGAGTCTTTGCAGCCAACACTGACTCAGAAAACACTTTATAAATACGTATTTAAAATGTCTATAATTATTTTAAATGTTAAAAATATATTTTTTCAACACATTTATAACTTTTGGCAGTGATTTGTGGCAAGCTTTATGCATGCGGGCTCTATTGCACCTATTTATTTAAGTAGATTAATATAAACTTGCGATTAGTCGAATAATGGCTTAAATAAATGACTTATAGTTGACTAGAATAATCTTTAATTTGGGCCAGCCCATATATTTTTCAAATAAACCATATTGTATCTGATCAGTACTTGCATTATTGAATTATTATTTATTTTTTTTTTTTGGTAATTTTTAAAGTTGAGAATGTTACTGTGTTTTTACCATGTTATTACCAATTTATTTAAATTTAAAAATTGTATCTGGATATATCATTATCTGAAATTTTTAAGAACATATAATGTGAGAATTACTAATATAAACGATGTAATTTTACGAAATTTTTCTGGGTTAAAACAGACCCGAAATCAAAATCTCCCACATTAGCCCAGCAACTGCTAAAACGACAGAGCAATCACCCAGAAGACCGTAGCGAGGCCTTGTACCATTACACATGCAGAGTAACAGATTTTAGACATGCTGAGATGAAGACGTTCAGCACGCTGACTAAATCTGAGCGTTCATTCACACCTGATAACATCACAGAATGGATCTGCAATATGAGGGAAGAGATGAATAACCGATCGAACATCAAAAAGCATAGCAAGCAAATCGCAAATCACTTCCTTTTTATGTAGACACATCTCGCTGATAAGATGCCAGTGTGGAGGTTGACATTTAAACCACTTTGATCATGTATTTGAGTGTAAAAGCACGCTCTAAAATGAGAATATTTTTATCACATCCCACCTCAAAATGAATTATGTTCCTTACTGAACTGGAACATTGTGTTATTTTTCCACACATGTTGGAAGTTATTTTAAGGATTGTTTTTGGTCTCCCGTTTAGAAGTAGCTATCATATAATTTTGCTTGTCAAAAAAAAAAAAAAAAAAAAAAAAACACACATTGAACACTGAAAGATGTAAAAAGGCAAAAATATCAAACTATTGCTTTACTAAGATCTTATTGTAAATACTCTACGGGGGGGGGGGGAGGGGGGATATATTTCTGGTGGATCATATGACACTGAAGACAGTAGTAATGATGCCGAAAATTCAAAGAAATTTTCTTTTACAGAAATCACTTTTTAAGGACTACAACAACGAGCTTCTTCTAGTTTTTGACATCCCTAACCCTAAAATTTACACTAACCCCGCCCCCGGGGACACCAGACACAAAAACAGAGCGTTTTTGCTCACTTTCAAAAAGTGACAATTTTAACATGCTATATTAAATAATTGGGGTGTGTAATACACATATTCGTATTGAACCGTTCGGTACGAGGCTTTTCGGTACGCATTTTTAAACCGAACGTTTTTTCCTGCCGACCAACATTTCGTTATTTCAAATGTAGGCGCGTCGCCCGTGGCGAGCGCTCATAGACGCTGGCGTGATCACAACATTGCCCAACATCAAATGGCAAATGTAATGTAAGCGGAACGAAACTGAGCTACTCGTTATTGTGTGTTTGACGGACCGTTTATCAGTTTGGACCAATGCAGCGCGAGCCGATCTTGATCATCAGCACTGTCACTACACAGCCAAATCTAGTAAAGAAAACATTTGAATTCGCCACTGAAGTGATAACATCGCTGCGAGATCTAGTGAGAAACACTCACATTTCTTCGTTATTAACGGATCAAACAGCGCTGACGTGGAAACCAGGAACTTTGTGCCATCAATGAACTATCCAGTGTCCACAGATCAGCGATATTCACCATGGATTTACTGTATAACACTAACTGTTACTATATAAGTTTGACAGGAATAGTAGGCTATAATGCTTTCAAGTAACATCACTTCGGTTTTATTTTGACATTTTGAATAGAATTGCTGCCCTCAAATGTTAATCTGAACTAAAATAAACCTGTTTATAACTACTACAATATTACATTTCATTTTGTCCAATGAGCTGTTCTGTTTTAAAGACGCCTTTCCACTGCACACGACATTCGCCCCCTAGTGTCAGTCGCACAGAACTTTGAAATTGGTGCGTGAAGCAACCGTTACCCTAGGATATTCACAATGGTAAAATTAATGATTTTAATAAATGTAATGCATGCATGAATATATCTACACAAAACAAATGACCCTCAATTCATCTCAAATAAAAATATAGTAGTATAAATATTGGTTTAATAATTATAAAATATATTTTCTGCTATAGTTAATTATAACCAACATTTTACAGAGCGAGCGTTTACAGAAAAACATTAAAGAGTTAAAATATTGGTAATTCTAGCCTCGCGCTCATTGTTTTTATTAGAATACATCACTTCCGGTTGGCCGGTCGCATACGGTCTAGCCGCAGACGTTCAGATATTTCAACGGATCCAAAGCTCAAAACGGATCCGAATTTTCAGCGTACGCATATGATCGTAACTCCCCGCAGCTCCCGTACGACTCTCCATTGGAAATGAATGACTTCCGGTCCGACGGCGGTCGTTTGTCGTGTGCAGTGGAAAGGCGGCTTCAGTATAGCTCCATAATTGCTCAAAGTTAAAAAATATCATACATTATGATGTTAATTTTAATAAAAATATAATAAAAAAATTAAATCAAGAAAATTTCTCCGCCATTTCTTTCTTTTTGCTGTATCGGAAACGTACCGAACCGTATCACAAGTGTATCGTATCGTATCGAACCGAACCGTGAATTTTGTGAACCGTTACGCCCCTAATAAATAATATCAGTGGGGTATTTTCAGCTAAAACTTCACATACACATTTCGGCGACATCCGAGACTTATTTTACATCTTGTGAAAAGGGCATTGTAGGACCCCTTTAAATTGTCATAACTCTATTTCTGGGGAAAAATCGCAGCTTTGGTGAAACCTTGGTGGCATGAGACTTGAATATTTTTTTAATTTGCTGACACACTCTTACCCCTTTTCCACCTAAAAAAGAACTGGTTCGGAACTGGTGCTGGTTCAAAGTTGGTTCGGAGTTGGTTCAACTTGCGAACCGCTTCAGAACCTGTTTGTTTTTCCACTGACTAGAGCGCCCTGGGAACGACGTCGTTACGTCACTTTGTACGTCGCCATACGTCTTTGTTAGAAACGCTTGGAAATACAACATTACTTTCGGATTATCTCAAACTCGTGTACCAAGAAAGCTTTAAAAACAATTGAAATATGTAAGTCTTTTAATATTTTCGTTTGATATGTAATCTCTTCTGATAAGTTATGTACCCCTGTCTTGTGTCTTTTTTTCTTTTCATTTATTTGTTCTATTTGTTCTATATTGTGTTTTTTATTGTCTTCAATAAAAAAATAGAAACGCTTGCGTTAACTTCAACCATAACAATTACAAAGGCGGACTCCATCGTGTTTCTGCAAATGTTTCTCTTGGCTTTGCGATGCTTTATTATGGTCAGAAAAGATGTTTAGGAGGACACATCTAAACCTGCAAACAGAAATGTAAAACCAGTCCTAATTGAAAGAGAACAAGTTGACAAAAAGATTGAATCCAAGATTGGGAGAAAATATGGTATAATGAGTGATTTATAAGCTATTTTTTAATAGGCCGGTCATTTTTGACCGGGAACACCACAAGTGTGACTATGTTCCATATTTTTTACAAAACAAAAGTTTCAAAACAAAATTCCTGGTAAAACATTAGAGTAGACTAGTGTGATGAACAGTAGCCATTTTTTTTTTCAAAAAAAAGTTCATGTTTCCAAATTTATTCATAAATTATTTATTTTTTACTCAAAAAATGAGATGCCTACTCTCAGACAAACGAGGCCCACGATTAATCAGATGCAAACAGAAATATAAAATCAGTCCTAATTGAAAGAGAACAAGTTGACAAAAAGATTGAATCCAAGATTGGGTGAAAATATGGTATAATGAGTGATTTATAAGCTATTTTGTATAGACCGGTCATTTTTGACCGGGAACACCACAAGTGTAACAAGGTAAGAGAACTCCCACAAAAAAAATACGAAAATGTTCAAAAAACAAATGAGATACAGTTATACCGCTTGGGAACAAAGTCACTAAGTTTCAGTCCAAAGCGATAACATTAACTAATATTTTCAGGAAAAAGAATATCTTCTCCGGGTCAAATTGACCCGAACACCACATGAGGGTTAAATTGTCATAACTCTATTTCTGGGGAAAAAAACGCAACTTTGGTGGCATGAGACTTGAATATTTTTAATTTGCTGACACACTCTGTTACTCCTCCTTAGCACCAAACTGTCTTCCTCAGCGAATGAACGTGAAAGTACTTACTTCCTCTTTTCTTGTCATCCCTCCCACCCCACAATGTCCCTTTTTTTCCATCAAGAGGTCTTTCTGCAGTGCGGTGACGGACGAGATCAGACTGTCGTTCACGTGCGAGAGACGGGTGAAACTCAAGCCCCCTCGCCAGCCCCCGCCACCAGCCTCGCTGAAGACAGACGCGGTGATCAACATGCACTCCTTCAACGCCCGTCGCCTGCCAGGAAAGGACAACATGAGCCGCAGCACCGCAACGACGCCCGTGTTTCCATGACTTGCCTGGGCGACGGCCAACTGAGGCACGTCCCCGGAGCCGTGCCCGAGAGCAGGGACTACGGCTCCGAGATGATCACGGCATTCACCATCAACCGCAGAGACATCCGACACCACATGGCCAGTCAGAACGGTGGCAGTAGCAGCAAACCAGTTAGCGACCACATCCTCAAACCAATGTATCCCACAATGCCACTGCGAGAGGGAGGCCGATCCGTATCCTTCCTGTGAGAACGGACCGCGTCCAGCCAAACTAACCGAGTCTGATGTTTACAAACGGCACTCGAAGGAGAACTCCCCCTCCCCCCTAAACAAACGAAAACGCGTTTCTCATCGGAACCGAGTGAAAATGTGGAAACGAGGCTTTTTTTGAGCATGGCAATAAACGAACGGACGTGAACGGGAGTCGTTTTCTTAGAGTATAATTTATAGCACATCAAGTTCATTTCAAAGAGTTTTTGTGGGGTGCGAAACAAACGTCTCCGTGAATGCGATGTACAATACAGGTGTGCGTCAGACTGTAGGACCGGTTTAGATTAACACCGCAGCAGTCATGTGACCTGCTAGACTAGTAGAAACCCTTGAAGAGTGCAGACGAACATCCTTTGCTCACGGAAATGCACAAACAAACAGGGTTGATTTCATTCGAGTCACCGAAACTCTTTTTTGAGCAAGACTTGTGGCCATTTTGATTCATCCGTGCTTCATTCATTGCCGGCAGATGTTTTTTTTTTTTTCTTTTACACAGCGAGATCTAATGGTAATGACGGATAAACACAAGAGTTGCCAAAGATCCGTCGTCCAAATGGATTTCGACACTTGAAGCGCAGCTTGCCCTACACACAAAGAGAGCGAGTGACACGTTTGCTAAATGAGAACCACAGCCTTCGTATCACATGATACGTACTAAATGCACAGCTTGCCATATATGAAGAGCTTATGAAGGAAACCGTTTTAAGACATACATGAGCGAGAATGTCTCTCGCCGTGTATCTATTCGGCTACGACTATATTGGCTATCTGCTACGTCAACTTGTGGAAGTACAGAGTTTATAGATGGTGTGGCCTTCGTCAAAGCATTAAATCAGAACACATCTGGGTGTTTTATTTCTTTATGACTATTATTATTATCATTTCGTCTTCCACTCACGTTTATTTCTCCAAACTGAAAATTACCCACATATAGTTTCAAAACCTGTGATGTTTTGTCTTCCCAAAATGCGATGTTAGGCAGAATGTCAAAGCATTGTATTTTTTTCCCCATACAATGAAAGCTGATGAGAGCTTTATAAAAAAAAGGAACATAAAAGTAGTCCAAGATTAGATGTCAAAACCTAGTCTCACAGATACTGTAGCTAACGTGTAGATTTAAAAACTCAGTTTAATGTACTACTTTTATAGTGCCTTTATTTAAAAAAAAATGTTTTGGCAAAAATGCTATTTAGGTTTTCACAGAAGAAAGAAAATTACCAGTTTGGAACAACATGAGGGTTAGTAAGCGCTGACAAAATGTTCGGTTAGACTTTATTTAGATAGTCTACTAACTATAAGTAACTTACATGTCAACTAACTGTCATTAGAGTATTAGTAAACTGATAGGTTAGGGTTTAAGTAAATATAATATGTTGACATGTAGTGGACCGTCGAAATAAAGTGTTACCAAATGTTCATTTGTGGTCGAATCGACCTAATGGAAAGTTAATTTTTGAATATTTTGAATACATTTCTTTATACCCATAGAAGCTAAAAGTGATTCAATTGATAATGTGGGTAATATTTCAACACCTTCATTTCAAAACATGCTTCTCTTTACGTACCTGAACTTGACGTCACGAGCAGGAGACTTTCACATATGCATATTCAAGTCTTCGTCCAATAAAGAGAGTCAACAACGACGGCTACGGTAAATTGCAATACGAGCATGTTACGGTACTGGACCCTCTCATCTCCGAACGTGGCATTTACGGACAGTTCACATGCTGTTGAGATACATCCGTGACGGTTTTCCATGTGGGAAACCCTATAAACGTTCCCACGATGAGGTGTAGGTGCTAAGAGTCTTCACCCGCTGCCCCCTCCCGCCCCCCGCGGCAGCTCGACCAATCACAGGCCTCCGTGAGGTCAACCTAACTGTGTCGAAAACAAAAGCAAAAACAAGAGGGAAAAAAAATGAAGCATTTTTGTGTTTTTATGGTGAATTATGTATCGACCAGAATAACTTCATGTGACTCGATGTTTCTTTGGTGAAAGCTCATTGTATACGTGTTATTCGAATTCTGTGTAATTTTAACACTCTCTTGCAAAGTAGGGTATATATTAGATGAAGAGAAAATTACTGTATTTTGCTAAATACCGATGATTTTTACCTGTATTTTTTTCCTCAGCTCTTCTCTTCTTGATAATTTGTGCGACGCTGTATCGAGTGTGGTACATGCGTATTGTAATATAGAATCTACTCTCCAGAAACAATTAAAATGGAGCGATAATTTCAAATCCCAGGCCCGAATTCCAGCACATTCTGTCCCATTGATGGAAGGAGTTGATGATAAAACTGAGTGATGTGTGAGATCCTCCAGATATTCAGCAACTTAATGTACTCATATCAGATGTATATAAATAAGACGTATAACAGAGAAGAATATGGCGATTCCGTGTCATTTCTGACGCTTTCCATGAACACTCACCATGGATATTTAGCTTATTTATTTTTCCTTTATTCCTCCCACATTGTTCGAACGGCTTGATAGATTCTGTAGGATTTCTACATTGGCAAATCTATGTCTAGTCACTTAATGCATACAGTATTTATCATGTTTTCTTTTATAAGTTGTCTAAATACAAATGTTACAAAACAGACCCCTACAGGACTAAACAGAGGAATAAAGAATCAAATCAAATGTTGAAAAGTGAAAAGGAGAGTTCACCACAAATGAAACGTGTCATTATTTACTCATCCTCTTGTTTTTGGTGGATCACAATAGGACATGTTTATTGTTCTTGCAACGTGGGCTCAAGTTTCAGCCCTAAGACTTCAGAGGACTTGGAATATCGCACTTGTCATATGAATTTACATATAAATACAATATTGTTAGACTTAACGTACACTCACCTAAAGGATTATTAGGAACACCATACTAATACTGTGTTTGAACCCCTTTCGCCTTAATTCTACGTGGCATTGATTCAACAAGGTGCTGAAAGCATTCTTTAGAAATGTTGGCCCATATTGATAAGATAGCATCTTGCAGTTGATGGAGATTTGTGGGATGCACATCCAGGGCACGAAGCTCCCGTTCCACCACATCCCAAAGATGCTCTATTGGGTTGAGATCTGCTGACTGTGGCGGCCATTTTAGTACAGTCAACTCATTGTCATGTTCAAGACACCAGTTTGAAATGATTCATGGTGCATTATCCTGCTGGAAGTAGCCATCAGAGGATGGGGACATGGTGGCCATAAAGGGATGGACATGGTCAGAAACAATGCTCAGGTAGGCCGTGGCATTTAAACGATGCCCAATTGGCACTAAGGGGCCTAAAGTGTGCCAAGAACACATCCCCCACACCATTACACCACCACCACCAGCCTGCACAGTGGGAACAAGGCATGATGATCCATGTTCTCATTCTGTTTACGCCAAATTCTGACTCTACCATCTGAATGTCTCAACAGAAATCCAGACTCATCAGACCAGGCAACATTTTTCCAGTCTTCAACTGTCCAATTTTGGTGAGCTCTTGCAAATTGTCGCCTCTTTTTCCTATTTGTAGTGGAGATGAGTGGTACCCGGTGGGGTCTTCTGCTGTTGTAGCCCATCCGCCTCAAGGTTGTGTGTGTTGTGTTTTGCTGCATACCTCGGTTGTAACGAGTGGTTATTTCAGTCAAAGTTGCTCTTCTATCAGCTTGAGTCGGCCCATTCTCCTCTGACCTCGAGCATCAACAAGGCATTTTGGCCCACAGGACTGCCGCATACTGGATGTTTTTCCCTTTTCACTCCATTCTTTGTAAACCCTAGAAATGGTTGTGCGTGAAAATCCCAGTAACTGAGCAGATTGTGAAATACTCAGACACCAACAACCATGCCACGCTCAAAATTGCTTAAATCACCTTTCTTTCCATTCAGTTTGGAGTTCAGGAGATTGTCTTGACCAGGAACACACCCCTAAATGCATTGAAGCAACTGCCGTGTGATTGGTTGATTAGATAATTGCATTAATGATAAATTGAACAGGTGTTCCTAATTATCCTTTAGGTGAGTGTCTACATAGAAACATTTGAGGCCTGTTGCACCAACCCCACACTGGTAAGTTTAAGCAAACTCTGTTTTTTGTTTTCTTTTGTTTTTATTTTATTTATTTTTTTGGTGTCAAGAAGGCTAAAAGAATAAAAGAAGGCTTAACATGAGCATAGTTAGATGCTCTGATGCAATCAAACATCTCTTGCTCCAAATTAAATAAGTTTTAACGATTTTGATGTCTGGATTTTGCTGCTATTTATTTTATATGAATTGTAGGCTATATTATTTTTATTGCACATATAATGCTTGCCATGTAAAATATTTAATTAATTATTAATGCTAAAATATTTACATATAAGTTGAAATTTAGAGTTAATATAAAATGACCATGCTTACATTTTTTATTATTATTTTTGTTTGTGAATGCACAGTATATAAATTATTAACATAAAATCAGTTGATTGACTTTAATATATTCATATAGCATTGATATGTAAGCTTCTTTCTCAACAACAACAGCGTTTCTTCCTGTCTGTGTCATTATATATATATATATATATATATATATATATATATATATATATATATAATAACAATCTCTTCATCTTCATCTTGTCATTGGAAGGTTTTGTTGCATATGGACTTTTCAAACCATTATATGGTTATTAAATAATGGCAGAATATTCATTTTTGGGTGAACTACTCCTAAACTTTCAGGCGACGTCACCTTGTGTAGCACTTTGAGGGTGTTGAAAAACACGCGATAGACTGCAAAATTAATACTGAATCGGATTAATCATTCAATTTGCACTGTGACGCATTAATTGTAACTAATGACTTAGTATCGTTTCCTGAGTGAAGATCATATTTATCACACATGCCTTCATATCAAATTGATGAAAAACCATGACGTATTCATTTCTATCTGTATGAAATGCATCCCATTGGACATTTACTTTGGCTATTGGATCAATCAATCCTATTTAAGGAGCATAAACATCTATTTTATAAAAAGAATGAAGAGACAATGTGAACACTGCTGTTTTACAAAATTGTATGAAACAAAAAGAAAATAAAACGAACTGTTTATTCACATCCGTCCATGTATTCGCCTCTGCTTCCAGCCGAACGCTGGGGTCAGTGTGTGTGTTTCAGCGAGCGCAGTGTGTCCTGGAGAACATTGGCTTGTGCGGCGTGTTTTCATTCGCCTGTAGCAGAAGCGCTCTTTGAAGTGAGCGTCCACCTGAGCTCAGCAGCTCTCAGATAAAGAGACTCATGCTAGGAGAGCATTGCATTTTCACTTCAAAGAACAACAGATCAGCTAAAGCCCACGTTTATAGTGTTCCAGGAAAGACGCCGTGTTCTTGGGCTTCGCATGCATATATTTATGACCACAAGAATATTTAGTTATGCTTCACTCAAAAATGCAGATTTTATCATTATTTACTCACCAAAGTGTGCTAAATCGATAAAAACAAATCCGTTAAATTTACGGGGAAAAAAAACCAAACTGGCATCTGTGGTTACCAGAGTTTTCCTGTTAAAAATACGGTAGCGACATTAACAGACTTTAAACGTATATAATTTGAAAGTAATAAACCGTATTTCATTTTCCGACATAATGTTAATTTATTGATCTTTTGAAGTATTAATATCTGTTTTGTTCCATTGTAATACACTGACAGCCGCCAATCACAGCAGTGATTAGTCACATGATCAATCATGTGAAAAGTTAAAGCCAAAAATGAAAGTTAATACTAATATGTAGAAGTTGTGCAGTGTCTTTGACACAAACTTTAAACACCGTCATGGTAACATCTTGGGGGAAAAAAAAATACATTAAATGTGAAGTGTCACAGGGAATTGTGGGAATGTCAATTTACATTTTTTTCACAGTAAATTATACAATGACTTGTTCTTTTTCACCTCCAAAAACTAAATTTAACGGTATTTTACAGTAAAATTACATTAAATGTACCATTTATATATATATATGTATATATATATATATATATATATATATATATATCCTTATACATATTATACATTATACCATTATATACAGGATGTATATATATATATATATAGTTTCAGTGCAAACTGTTCAAAGGGCTTTAAACGATTCCAGACGATGAATAAGGGTCTTATCAAGCGAAACGATTGTTCATTTAAAAAAAAAAAAAAATAAGCTCAAGTTCATGACTCTCCTGTTCGAACTTGTTCATCAAAATGAACAAATCTTTTCCAGAGTCAACTTGTTCATTTCGTTCATTGAATGAACCAAATGACACAAAAAAAGATTTGTTCATTTTGATAAACGAGTTCGAACAGGAGAGTCACGAACACGCATCACAGAACAGAGCAAGGTGACCATTTGCGCTTATAAAAATTAAACTTTGTTATTTATTTATGAAATGAGCGATCATTTCGCTTGATAAGACCCTTATTCATCGTCTGGAATCGTTTAAAGCCTCAGTTTGCACTGAAACTGTCTTTTGGACCTTGAACCGTTTGGTTCCCATTGAAGTTCATTATATGGAGGAATGTTTTCATCAAAAACCTTAATTTCTTTTCGACTGAAGAAAGAAAGACATAGACATTTTGGATGACATGGGGTTGAGTAAATTATCAGCTAAAGTTTTTTTTTTTTTTTAAAGTGAACTACTCCTTTAAATTTAGTATAGCGCTAGTAGCACTTACAGACAAAACTGAAACACAGTTTCTCTGTGGCAAAACTACTATATTTTCACTGGAAGAAAATGTCATACAGGTTTGGAACAACAAGTTCCAGTTAGTAAATGATAACAGAATTGTAATTTTTGGTTGAAGTATCCCTTTAATCCTCTTATACACCGTACCATAGCCTATGCCGTTCTGCACGCGTCAGTAACCCTGGCATGTAGGCTGTTCTGTCTTAAATGAGCATGAATGAAGATTTACCCATGTTAAATTACCTTCAAGTAGCCTGTAATAAAACGGGACAGCCGATAGACTGTTGGAGTGAATTTAACCTTGACAGTGAGGAGGTTTCAGACGTCTCTCCAAACATTTCAAGGAGCTCGGGGACTAGCAGCGCCAGGGCTGTGAGTGAATAATGAGTGAAGAGAAACTCCCTCATAATGGCAAGATTTATGAACTCTCACCATCACTTAATCCCTGAGGGGAAGAAAAGACCACAATGAGAGAGAGAGAGAGAGCGAGACAGAGAGAGCGAGCGAGAGAGAGAGAGAGAATGATAGACATACAGATATATATATATAGATAGATAGATAGATAGATAGATAGATAGATATATAGGTTTGAAGCAACTTTACTTCTATAATTCACATTAAAGGCACACTATGTAATTTTCCGCCATTAGAGGTCGTTTATTCAAAACAAAGACGGCTTGATTTCGCTGAATCATGGGAGTTGTCGTCTTCACCTCTATAGTGGAGAATACGGCAGAAATCATATTCATGGATGACCGGTAATGCATTAAAGATTAATTAAAGTTCTGAAAGCCGCGGGAGTGGAACGAGCCGCTAGAGTGATTGCTAATGAGAGACGAGCGCGAGACACAGATCGAGAACAGTTAAGCTTTTATTCTTCTGCTTCTTCCGGTCATGAGTATGTGGAGTAACACAGCGCTATTCATCATATACACATTTGATAGTGTTGAAAGTTGTTATGTTGTACGTTCACACAGGCCCTGTTTACACGAGAATGCTCGCAGGTGAAAATGTCTAAATATTTCATCGGATGTGCCTTTCGTTTACACGGCGACTGCGTTTTTGGGGGCTTAAAAAACGCAAAAAAAGTGAATCTTAAAAACGCTCCAATGCCGCGTTCCTGTGTAAAGGGTAAAAAAAGGGTACTATTCAGTAAAGGTTGTATGCAGGCGGGCGGGCTTGGTGTTGTTGTG